AGGGAGGGGGCGTTGCGTGATGGGGATTCTGCGTTCACAGGAACAAACCCTGATCCCAGCGTGCTCTGCTCTGCATGGGCTGGCACTGGCAGGCTATATTTAGCTGGTGTTGCCATGTGCCCGGAATCTGAGACATATATTCTGCTGCGCGCGCATGTGAACGAGCAGACAGATTATAGTTTCAATCCCCTGTTCTCATTTTTATATATAATATTAAAGGCCATATTTTGTACATTCCTTTGGATTAAACTGTGTTAAGAATAATTGTAAACGCACTCCCATTTGAATCAAAAACTTAAAGCATTAACAATTTTAACATTTTAATAGGCTATAGAAAACAATAGGCTACACACCACCAAAAAGTCTGACCAAATAACACATATTTGCATAAGACTTTACAACATTAGTTGATGCAACACTGTCATATGCATGGGTTCTGCTTGTGCAATTCAATGCAGCCACTGTGAACAGGGAATCGGGTTGCTGCAGTGGGGCCTGTAATGGAGAGACGCAGTAATGCTGTTTCTTTACACACTCACAGGTTATTCTTTAGATTTGGGATAAACAGCTGATTTAAGTCTTTGCTCATGGAACCACAGGACTTCTTGATCCAATAACCTGAGCTGGAAACACCAACTGACTAATCACTCTGCTGATAAGAGTTTGCATAGATCTTTACAATAATTGAACCATCCAGGGATGTTTTTTCATACTCAGGACTTATTTAGGTGTTTTATTAAAACATTTGTCATTTTTTACAGATTAGCTTGTTATTTTAAGGGATAGTTCACCCCAAAATCATTCACTTCATATACTCACCCTCATATTGTTCCAACCCTGTGAGTTTCTTTCTTCTGCTGAACACAAACGGAGATATTGGACCAAATGTTTGTAACCAAGCAGATCTCGCTCACCATTGACAACAGTATTTTTTTCCTACTATAGTAGTCAATGGAGGGTGAGATCTGATTCATAGAGGTTTGGAACAACTTCATGGTGAGTAATGATGACAGAATTTTTGGGTGGAAGATCCCGTTAATGGATTTCCTTGATGGAAATCTGGAATGGAATTTGTCATTTTAAATCTCACAATCAAATCATGTATTTGTTTTAGGGACGAGTGCAACCAACTGGGACAAACCTCTGCTGTAAAGAACCCATAAGATGCCATCTGGTGGCAGTGCGTTCCTTACAAACAGCAGGGGCAGTAACACGGTGATGGCAATATCATATTCATGTAACATCGTGTTCAACTTTACATGGTACTCCAAGATACTTTAATGATGGTCTATTATGGATGTGTAAAATCACCACCACCACAATTTTTTATTTTTTTTGTCAGACTCTTGGACAGAATATTAGTCTTTAACACCTCTTCTGTCCAAATAAATTTGCCTGTTGTTGGATATCTTTAATGTGTGGATTATACTATGTTACTTGCACAAACTGACTTTTTAGATTATTGGTAATTGTAAAAGCATTCTTTAGAAATGTTGGCCCATATTGATAGGATAGCATCTTGAAGTTGATGGAGATTTGTGGGATGCACATCCAGGCAGTGGTGTAGTCTAGTTTTTTGTAGTGAGTATACTGTGATATACCAGCAGCCCCCCATTTGCGAAAAATTTTCAAAACCTCTGTGATATTCCTTTAAAATTCTGTTTTAATAGATTTGATTATTATTTTAAAAATTACATTTTACTATGCAATTTCTTTCATAATTCCATCGAGTTACTTTATTTATCTCTATAAACTGTTGTAAATTAAAGACATTTGAGCTTCTGTGTGTTTTAATAAACTATTATTAGCCCTACTTGAAGTAGGCCTATACTCTACTGTGCAATAGTAATATATTTCTTTTATATTTTCTTCAAGTGATACAAAACGTTGATTTTGACAGGTTGCATGAAGCAGGGGCGTCATAGGATTTTGATCATCACTTAGGATTTTTTCTAAAAAAAAAGACAAAAAAAGGTAACACTTTAGTTTAGGATCTAATGCTCACTATTAACCAGTTTCATTACATGCAAAGGCAGGGTTTTATAATCACTGTTGTCCCAAATGTGAGGTAGATTAGTCATGGGGGTTCAGGGTTTCCCTGAGAAAAATTTTTATTTCTCTGATCTAAATATGTGCATTTTAGGTTGTTTTGAAGGCCAAAAAAATAGATAACAGCTTTAAAACATGTCAGTGGGCACTGGGCAGCTTATTATTTCTCTCTCCTCATCAGCATCACCCTCTTTTTCTCTTTGTTTTTATCTTGCCCTGTCTCTTCCCCTCCTAAAGATGAGCTTTGACTGATATAGGCTTTTCATTTTTGTCGGTCAGTCAAGACAGTAAACATGGGGTCAACTGATGGATTTGGATTTTCCCTATGAATAATTTTTCTCGGACACGTTTATTCACTGAAAGCTACTAAAGCTAGGTAATTAAGTTTATTAAATGCATTCAAAACATATAGGCCTAGGCTACACATTCATTATTGATCTTATGCCTAAAACAGGGCCATAGACAGGGCTTTATAATCAAAGAGGTCCTAAATTTGAGGTTGGTGCTTCAATTTTTTTTTTATTTCTCTGATGTGCATTTCAAGACGTTTGAAGACCAAAAAAAAGAATAAGAAATAGCTTTAAAACCATGTCAGTCGGCACTCGGCAGTACATTCTCTTCCCCTCCGAAGCTTTTTTAATGTACTAAAGGCTACAATTTTTATTATATTCTCAATATGTACACATTCATTATTACTCTTGTGGCTAAAATGATGAAAACGGCTTTGTTAATGTTTCTTGTCCCCTCGCAATGACAGTAAACTATTAAATTGCATGAGTCACGTTACAGGCCTATTTATTTCAGTTCAAAATGGCGAAAGTAGGCAAAACTATATATTTTTTTTGTCATTCGTTTAACATTTATGACCTAAAAAATGTAAAATATGAAGTTTAGCCACTTACATCTTATCTCGCACTTGCCCGTAAACTGAAGCGTCGAGTCGCTCTGCTGAAATTCCCGCTCAGCGTCGGTGAACATAGAGCCCGCCTACTTTGATTTGATTTGATTTGATTTGTCATCTCGAATATTCTGACATTGACGAGCAGTGACAGACCAATGAGGCTCAGATGAACACAAACACACACTGTCCTGTGTTTTTGACGTGCTCTCTGCTCGCGCGCTGGGCTTTATGCCCAGCTGCACTACTTCCTGAACTTCAGCCAGCTCCTTGTTTCCTGTCTGCCATTATTGGCCATGATTATTGTTGCCATGACTACTGAGGTCAGGTACACCTGAATTAATCAATTTGGCCAATAATGGCAGACAGGAAACAAGGAGCTGGCTGAAGTTCAGGAAGTAGTGGGCTGATGTCGTAGGAAATGTATTTCACAAAACGATGTTGTTACGAATCCTCACGCTTTTTAAAGTGGGCATACGGAGATCTTTGACATTTCCTAGTGGGCATACGCAAATCCTTGACATTTTCCAGTGGGTATACGGCGTATACCTGCATATCACGTAGACTACACCACTGCATCCAGGGCATGAAGCTCCCGTTCCACCACATCCCAAAGATGCTCTATTGGGTTGAGATCTGGTGACTGTGGGGCCATTTTAGTACAGTCAACTCATTGTCATGTTCAAGAAACCAATTTGAAATGATTGGAGCTTTGTGACATGGTGCATTATCCTGCTGGAAGTAGCCACATGGTGGCCATAAAGGGATGGACATGGTCAGAAACAATGCTCAGGTAGGCCGTGGCATTTAAACGATGCCCAATCGGCACTAAGGGGCCTAAAGTGTGCCAAGAAAACATCCCCCACACCATTACACCACCACCACCAGCCTGCACAGTGGTAACAAGGCATGATGGATCCATGTTCTCATTCCGTTTACGCCAAATTCTGACTCTCCCATCTGAATGTCTCAACAGAAATCGAGACTCATCAGACCAGGCAACATTTTTCCAGTCTTCAACTGTCCAATTTTGGTGAGCTCTTGCCTCTTTTTCCTATTTGTAGTGGAGATGAGTGGTACCCGGTGGGGTCTTCTGCTGTTGTAGCTCATCCACCTCAAGGTTGTGCGTGTTGTGGCTTCACAAATGCTTTGCTGCATACCTCGGTTGTAACGAGTGGTTATTTCAGTCAAAGTTGCTCTTCTATCAGCTTGAATCAGTATATAGTGAATTTTTGTGTGTGTATATATAAAAAATATACATAAACACACAAAAAGAGAGAAAAAAAACCCTGAAAAATGTATAGATATAATATTGTATATAGGTACAGTAATGTGTTTAAGAAATAGGTGTGATATAATAATGAACATTATTAGTGATAACATTTTTCTGGTGATGTTGTGGAGAGAGAAAAAAATAAATTTGAAACAATCCTTAACAATAATAATAATTGTTGTAATAATAATAGTGGCAATATTAGTAGCAGCAGCAATGATAACATCTAAGATTTTTGGGATTTTAGATGTGTCAATAAAATCTAAATATTGTTGAAACATTGCTTGTTTAAATTTGGCTTTGTTATAGACCTAAATATGATCACCAGATGAAAATATATTTAGAAACAAAATTCACATTTTGAAAAACTCATAAATCAGTCAAATCATGGTTTGCTTTAAATCTTCTGATATCAACAGGTTCAAGATTATATTATAAAGATGTCTAAATGTGAGATTTTGGTCTCATCAGGGATCATTGTAACGGACAACACTGAGGACAGTTGAAGCACTGAACTGTCTGTGCGCAGTGATTATTTCAATCACATGAGGGCGCTCAAGCTTTATTTCCTAATTCTGTAGAACCAAGAGTAATATATACCCATATTTTGAAGTGATTAAAATGTACGTTTGGAAAAACAACTGCCATCATCTTTTATACATGTTTTTGGAGTAAGTTATCAACCTTTATCTTGTGGGGTTTTTTTTATGTTGAAAATACTTTAGGTGGAGACATCCTGTTCAAATGAAGCTCTAATGATCTGATCAACTCGACAACATGTAACGGTTCATTTCATAAGTTTATTTCATTAAAATACTTTACAATAAATATTAAATATTAGTACAAAATATGGATGTAAACAAACATTCATCCTTTAAATATTTGAAGAATCCTCACATTTGAAGAATCCCAATCCATCACAAAAAACAAAAACCAGAAGGCCAAGTTTTGCAAAGGACACATCGAGTCTAATAAATACATCCAATTATAAACTGTACTTGGTACATACGTTCTGAAGATATTTACGGAATCAAATTTGATTCTTAACTCCGGATTAGTTGTTTCTTCTCCAGCGTGAAGTTTGTGAATCGGCCTTTTGACATCTGGCTCATGTCCACCTGCTCGAAATCCTCATAAGCCGTGCTAATAAACCATCCGGGATACTTAACGGATTCAAAAGTGTTATTAGCCACACCGGTCTCTTTCCTGAAGAACAGGAGGTTGTCATTCTGGTCACCGACTTTAATGGTGTTTAATGTTTCACTGATCTCCTGAAATAAAAAAATAAAAAATCAGGATTAAATCTTTAGTTTATAATGTGGATAAAGAAAAAACAATAATAGGGTTGTGAAACATGGCGTGGGGAACAAACCTTCAAGACCAGGTGGGGGGAAGCATCGTCCAGCGTGGTACAAGCGAGGTAGAGATTGGTCTGGGAAATTGCCAGGCACACAGGCTGGGATGCATTCGGGGTGGCACTCGTTGACGCATACAGCGACAGACTGAAATCAACTGAAAATAAATAAAGGTGTAGGTTAAGAGGATCATTTCTGAAGTCGGGTGTAAATGTGAAAGCTCAGAAAGGGGGCTTCATATATAGAGCCTTTCAGAGCTTCCCATCATTTTATGGATTTAGATTTCATTCATGGTTTCATTCAAAATGACATTTTTATGAAGTTAGCAGTTCGTAAACACTTTTGATTGTACTGAAATGCGCGTTGGCAGTGCCTGTACACAACCATCACATAATGATAAATTATGTGATATAATAGTAAAGGGGTAAAATGAGTGTTTTCTTACAATACTAATGAGAATTTTTAATTAAAGTATATTACAAACTTTTCAATTAGACCCTAAAGAAACAAATTGACTTGAAAATGGCATTATGACCCCTTTAAGCATGAAAGTGTTATGAAATTATTAGGACTCTTCACCTTTTTGGCATAAATTGAGTCAAGAACCCTAGTTTTAGAACCACGTTGAACCTTTTTTTGGAAGAGTGATGAGATTTACCTTTGTATCGATTGTTTCCGTCTCTCAGCGTGACAGCCAGCAGACGAGGAGATCCCGTGCTTTGCACCAGAGTCTTCTTGAACTGATCACAAACGTTGCACTTCACCGTCTGGTTGGTCTTGGTGTAAGATGGTGTCACCACCCGCTCCATATGATGCTCTGTGGAAATAAAAAGACATTAGTGAACGACAAAAACAAAAAAAAATATTTATATAGTGCTTTAGACAATACGGATAGTTTTAAAGCAGGAAAATAACAGAATAAGTGACTACGTTCATAATGTGATTATAATGGAAATACAATACTTTGAGCAAACTGATGTGAAAAAACAGGCATGTAAACACTTTAGCTGTATCTGAAATGGCACACTTCCTTACTATATAGTAGGCGAAAAACAGTATGTGATAAAAAGAAGTATGTCCAAAATTAAGGTACTCATAAAAGAGTACGCAAAAAGTTCCTGAATGACCAAGTACTTCTGGTGAGATTCTGAAGTGTGCATATGATGGACACTTTACTATCCCATGAGGCCACGGGAGAGGATTTATGAATGACTGAAGCAACATGAAGTAACGCTGGTAGGTCGCTTGATAATGACAACATGGCGACTGTAGTACATTTGAATCACATAAACTGTAAAAAAAAAAATATTGTTGGTTTTATCTTAATTTTAAGTTCATTGAAATGGAAAAATTGAGTTAATACAACGAGGGAGATTGATTTAATCATCAGAAACTCAAAATATTATGTTATCTGAACTACATAAATCATCTAAATTGATTTGAAAAAAGAAAAAATGTGATTTTTTTTACAGTGGTACTATATAGAACATACTTTTTAGTGGTCACGAAGTAATTACTTTTTCAAAATAAGAGCCTACTCAAGAGAGTGTGTGATTTCTACGATGTGTTCAGCCTTCAATCACATCATTTGACGCAAACTAGTAAACAAACCTAAAAAAGCATCATATTTTTGAGGTGCTGAAGAAACCGAGTACATACTGACATCATTGCGCGACATAAATATGATGCAGTATTTTGTTATATCAATACGCCCAAAGAAATGTGTTAAAACAGTGGCCAGTAAACACACCTACTGTGTGTCAGTTCATTATTTGTGCTGTTCGTTTGTGAATAATGGTGGTAAAATAGCCAGAATAATAAACAAATTGCTTATAAATGGGAGTGAAGGTTTGCTCATCACATATCTTAATCTAGTTATTGGAAATAATCACATTTTCATGATGCAAATACTAAAGAAATTAAAATGTTGCTGTAAAGTAGCATGAAAAAGACAATAGTCGTGATTCAGTTCTCATTACTATCCTTTAGTATGGTATTGCAAATTCATAATATTATAGTGGTTTCAAAGGACAAACTAGGTCATATTGGTCACTAGATCACAGTAACTGGTTTGTTGTGGTGGCCCACCAGCTCTGACCATCTTGACTAATGTGGTTAACCAGTTCAGTCAATGCACAACCAAACCGCCAGAAGCTAGTTTTAGCAGCATACAAGTTTGGTAGTAGTACCTTGAATCACACGGTCCATGATCATGTCGAGCACCTGTTCTGCACCAAACTCTGAAGACACTGTTTTGACGTGCTTCATCCTATTCACAGCAATGACGATGTTCACCACCTGCTTCATGCTGGAGGGATGCCTCGACATTTCCAATCTGATGCTTCCATCCATGTTGCATTTGCAGCTCTGTGGAGAAATGATGTTTAGAGCGGTTTTAGATGACTTCATATTAATTAGACCACATGTATAAGCATATTTAAAAGCAACCCACCATGGATGGTTGATCTGAGCAGTCCATCTCGTCAGAATCGGCACTGTCAGAGTAAAATGCACTGTCTGTCTCAGATACACTGTTAAGGAAACAAATCAAGTATAGAATTAGACGACAAATAAAAACAAAGCAAATTCAAGATGTACGAGAGGTGTTTGATTATTCAATAATAATATGAAAACGTTTGATCTGGAAACTTACTCATCATAAGTCAGAGTTATGTCATATCCATCGCATGCCATCATTCTAAAATAAAGCAGAAAACGGGTTAAACATTGAGAAAATAATAATAATCTATCTCTTTAAAAACGCAATCTTAAAGATGTAATTGAATGTCACATACCTGTCGTTTAGTTCAGTTCCCTTTCTAGAATGAGTGAATTGGTTCTTTCTCTTGTGAGATTCTTTGGTTTAATGAGTTGTGACAGTAGAAGTATTCCTTTTTATATACCGGTCCTGAAAATGGGAATTTCCCCTCAATGAGGAAGTAACGTAAATGAACATGTTTTCGACATTTCGGGCATATCAGAGCAGGTGCGCCACGTTTTAAAGTGGTAAATCCCGTAAAGACGTAAACCAACTCGCGTAAACGTACTTTTTTCTTTGATAGAAAACTATTAAACATAATTATTTACATTTTCTACTAATGTCATGACGCAAACGCTAGGATGTGCTCACGTGCACTCTTAAATATGGTGCAATGCTCATTGCTCACCTTGCTGTCTGGATCGATCTGGATCTAATCATTACAAAATGTATGTTAAAAAAAATGCTATTTTAACAGAATAACTTAAAACCCCTTCTTTTATGATCATGTTTTCTCATAATTAAAAGTCAGTTTGATAGATTAAATAGTTTGGCATTATGTTTACTTTATTATTTATTTAAAGTAGTAAGCGGAGAAAAGCATTTGTTTTAATAGTAAAAAGTAATTACAAAATTCAAACATTAATTCAAACAATTAGTTGTGCAAATAGCATTTTTTATGTGACATAAAATAACTAGCCTTCTAATAACTACTAAAAAAATACTAACAGTTGTCAGACAACTTGTATATTTGTATTATTACATTTAATTTGATAGGCATGATGCAGTAAGATCAAAATTGTCTTTTAAAAATAAGCTGATGAATTTATGTGAATATTTCTCAAGATCTAAAATCCAAGTGAATATGTCCCTTATCCAAGAAAAAGTTCACGTTTCACTTGTCACATATGTTTTAATGAAATCTTGCCTTGTTTAAACAGCCTATTAGAGGCTTTTCAGCAAACACATTACAGTACAACTATAAAACAAAACAGCAAAAAAAAAAAAAAATGTAATAGGTAAAATGCAAAAACATTAACACATTGTTTTGATCAGCAACAAAAAATGTAATTACACCAGTTGGTTTTTTCTTTCTTTTGGTCACCAACAGCTTTTGCAACAATATGATGTAACTAAAGTTTGATGGGGGAAAAGAAATCAGTAAAATTATCCTACTTTGCAACAGTTTTGAAACCAACATGAGATAAAAAACAACTTATGAAATTGAAAACATTACACATGCAGATAGTTTAACCTGTGTGACAACTAACCCCGGTCTCCTCTGACAGCATGGCTGCTATACGACAAAACACTTTTACACTCATCTTTGAGATTTAGCCTAGGCTACTTGTCAAATAAATGTAGGTTTTCGGCACGGCCATAATCTGATCTCTCCAGACCTGATCTCTGCAGCAAGACGGTGATAACATCCCATAATATCACATTCAGAGGTCTGACAGGTAGTGTCCATGAGATGTAAAAGATGACTGTTATTAAATTGGCTTTATGCACAGCTTCACTACTTCCTGAATTTCAGCCAGCTCCTTGTTTCCTGTCTGCCATTATTGCACACATTGATTAATTCAGGTGTGCTTGACCTCAGTAGTCACGGCAACAATAATCAGACACACCTGAATTAATCAATTTTGCCCAATAATGGCAGACAGGAAACAAGGAGCTGGCTGAAGTTCAGGAAGTAGTGCAGCTGTGCATAAAGCCCATTAATGTGTCCATGTTGAGTTGTCCTCATTCTGTGGGGTCCAAAGGTTTCACATATTTCTGCAAATTATATCTTGTGCATAACAATATGAGAGAAAAGTTGAACTGAAACCCTCACTTTTCTTTTCAGTTCAAAGGAGTTCGCATGATTTTCACATGACCACACATTTCTGACTAAAATGTCAATAAAAATTCCAAACATTTTTCAAAGGTCATCAATGTGGATATTTGTAGCATTATTAAGGTATTAATAATTTTCTGTGTTCATGTGCTCTTTCATTTTATCCCACTTTGCACCGTCTAGCTTAGTTTTGGGTAAGTGACAAAAAAGGAATTAATAAGCTATATGTTCAAAAGTGTAATTGATTTCTAAGTACTGCATGCTATTTAGTAATTGCTTTCTCAATCCCATATCAACTTTGACAAATTGAACAATACAAAGATATAGACATGAAACTGCTCTTTTAATTCTTTCAAATAAATAATAAAAATTGCATCAAATAATCTTGAATTGACCAAAGTATTTAAATGAACAAGTTTACATTAAAACCATACATTCTATCATTAGATGACACAGTCTCATCCCAAGAAGTCATGTAACTGACGTCTTGGGACGTCTTTTGACTACCCTATCTCACGACCAATTTGTACGAATTCGTACGAATGATTCAAAAGTGGCAAATTCGTACTAATTCATACGACCTCACTCGTACAAATTTGTACGATTTGTCTAAACCCACGTGACGGTTATGTTTAGGGGCGGGGTCAGGGGTAGGTCATTCGTACGAATTCATACGAATTTGCTAATTCGTAAAATATGTTCGAATTAGCTAAATCGTACTAATTCGTACGAGTGAGGTCGTACAAATTGTTACGAATTAGCCACCTCGTAAAATTCGTACGAATTCCCAGATCGGGTTGCTTTTGACCATACGTCAAAATCCGCCTTTTTAGGGTAGGCTACCATTAAACGTCGGTTACATGACGATCCCGGGCCGTCATACAACTGACGCTTTACCTTTAACGTCGGTTAGGTGACGGGGTATAGGTTTAGGTCTGGGGCAGGGTTAGGATCCGGTAACGACGTTTAAGGGTACCCTAAAAAGGCGGATGTTGACGTATGGTCACAATTAAGACGTCCCAAGACGTCAGTTATATGCAACGACGTCTTGGGATGAGACTGCGCTGCATTAGACGTAACGTTTTAATGTAAAATCCACTATTGTCATGAAAGTTATCCCTAACTGTAATTTTTCAAGGGAAAAGTACTTGAAATGCATTACACCCAACACCTTTGACCATGGGTTTGGACATATATTTGGACATATTTTTGAACGTTCAAATCACTTGGGCATGTGGTGTGGTGCATGCAAACAGAGAGCTGACAGCGCGCAGATGGTAGGCTATGCTGATGACGAAAAATATATGGACAAAATACATTTTAAGATTAAGATCTTTTATTTAAAGTCATAAAAATACACCTTTTAGTTTTTACAAATAGGCCCCCAGACAGCAAACTGACATTGAATCAACGTGGAAACGACGTCTCTCATGACATTGAAACAACGTTGATTTTGCTCATCGAATTAACGTTGAACCAACGTCAGACGCGGCATTCTTCAAAGCTAAATGAAAATCGAAAATTGGTTTGCTTTCATAACGTTGAAACAACGCGTTGATTTCAAGTTGATTTTCTGTTAGTTTTGAAAGAATGACGCGTCTGACGTTGGTTCAACGTTAATTCGATGAGCAAAACAATGTTAGATCAACGTTGTTTCGATGTCATATTTCCACGTTGATTCAATGTCAGTTTGCTATCTATACCCCATAGACATATACACTAGACCTCACCTTGGGGCTTTAAGCATGCGTCAAAACCGCCGCCATTTTGGAACAGGGGTCTTGTCATAGGAAGTAGCTAGGTAACGCTGCTATCTCTGCCTTTACGTCGAATTCATTGATGGTGGCGGACTTTTGTGCAGCGTATGATGTTCACGGATGAAATCTGAACTAGGAAGAATGTTTTTGAAACAAAAAAAAAAATTTTTTTCTTTCTGGAATCAATGATAAATACATGTCTGACCGTTGGAACAAACCAAAAAAACAAGAAAAATCGCATTCATGATGATTTATGGTGATTTTATTTCCGTTAGACCTGTGTCTACTACATTGACGCTGATGCATTAAAGTGGAGGGGCTCCCCTGTTTCAAGATGGCGGCTCTATTGACGCATTCGTTCCAATGAACTGCCGTAGCCAAGGTGACATCTAGTGTATATGTCTATGTCTATACCCCTTAAATAACTGTGCAGATGAAACCATTGAAAATAAATATCATCTCATTAGCATTTAAAGTCGGCATCTTGCAACCTCTAACCTCAAAGACTGAACAATCGAGCATTGGGAAGTTTTCTTCTTCGTCAGTTCCCCTATTATGCGGTGTGCCCCACGGGTCCGTTTTAGGCCCTTCTCTTTTCACTTTATATTGGGTGCCTTTTAAAAAAAAAATAAAGTAAGATACCATTGCTTTGGAACATATTGAATTGACTGGATGGTTGTAGTTTGCTATTAGTCGATCTCATGTGATGTTAGTCGATCTCATTGCTATTAGTCGATCTCATTGCTTTCATGTCGATCTCATTGCTATTAGTCGATCCCCCCCCCCCCACACACACACACACCCACCAGTAAATACATCATCAGAGAAGTGATGTCACTGCAAGAGAGAGTTTATGTAAGTTTATGATCATGCATGAATTAAAAAAAATAATGATACATGGATGACTCATAATACTGAAATTTCCCATAACAAATGATCAATTTTGATTTCATGGTGACTAGTAAAATCTCGGATTCATCAATAGACTTTAACAGAAGAGATAGGGGAGAGCGGGGCACAACCTAACGCATGGTTTTGGCTCAATTAATTAAAAAGTAATTATGTTAGATTAATATTTTTTTACACAAGCAACATACACATCTCTGCAACAAATGAACACTTAAAGTTTTTTTCTAGGACCTACCATTTCCGTACAGTTGGACTGAAAGTGACAGAAGAGCAAATGTGACAACTTAGCCTATGCGGGGTTAATTGTAACAGATAGAGGGGTTAGTTGTAACACTTGTGTGTAACACACATAATTCAGTACTATTTTATTTGTATAGTTTGATATTGTTTGTGCATCTGTATAGACATACATCCATCCCTCATCCAATCATCCTTTTGTTATGGATCAATATCATGGATAGAGACATAGAAAAGGGCTGCACAGTTTTGCAATAAATAATAATAATAATAAAAAATTGTAATTGCAATTAAATTAGATTTGTGTGTGGCAGCTGCATGTACAATTATTATATTTAATAATAATAACTGTAATAATAATACAAATGAGCTTAAAATAAAAATTTTAAAGGGTTTATTGCATTAAA